AATCCGTATTTTCAAGAAATTTTTTCCATTCTGTCTTTTCTTTCCGTCCAGTTCACAGAGAAAGGAAAAAAGAGGTCATTCTTTTATCACTCTCTCGTCCGATTATTCGCCTGTTCTTTTCATTTGGAATTCATTTGTGTTCTGTTTCGTTCACAGAGTACTTGCCTAACTGAGTAGGCCATTTTATTTCTAACGTATACTTAAAATTAATGTTAAATTCACTATGTGTAATGGCACATGCTTCTTTTGTGTAAGACTGAATATGTTCGAATTAGATAAGTTCTTTTCTGCGGAAATCACTCAGAATGAGAGAAAGAATAGGGCACTTACTACATTGCTATTAATAGTGAGTTTCTGTGGAAAATACTTCAATATTCACTAGGTTAGTGTTGACTTAGACATAATATGTACGATACCGATGATAATACAATTAGAAGAGTCACTCGCAGACGATAAACATAGCAAAGTCCATTAAATATTCCTCACTTGAAATGTTTTATATAGAATGTTCATCACGAGTACGTGTGACATATGAGACGTTTGAAACAGTTGAGTTTTCTACTCGATGAAAAGAGAATCTTAAGTCATCGAAATATGAATCAGCTTTAAAAGAAATATCGTCACTACAGGAAAAAACAGATAACATTCTGATGCATAGGCGTGGCCTAATCAATTTCGTGACCGACTTAATACACACTATAATTATGAGATTTCGTAGTGCATTGATGACATTTCTAGTTATATCATATCTCCAAACTTTGATACTTTAGAATTTGATCGAAATGAAGTTAAATTTATTAATGATACTTTAAAAGAACATCTGTCTACCATAGTAGTTCCGATTGTAGTTTTCCTTATATTAGAAGCTGGTTAGATAGTCCGTGCTTTGCCTTTTCATCAATTCCTGTGTTAGTCGTAGTATTTTAAGTCTATTCGTCAGTCTCTCTTATTCGCCACTTAAAACATGAATGGAAATAATTCAGTTCTCTTCTCGTTGATAAACTGACCGATTATATTCAAATTATCATTAGATTAATGTTAAATTGACATATGTTTATAGTTTATACTTTGAAAACAGTGCAGAGAATTTTTCTCTCATCAGTTCGTTTCTTTTTATGTTAAGAGTAAGCTTACATTTTACTATTTACTTATTGGTATTTTTTCTTTTTGTTTTTTCTAATAGTGGAATGGAATGACAAGACGTTAATGCTGTTCGATTAAACCTACGTATTTTATCTTTCTTTCCACTATTGAAAAAAACAAAAAGAAAAAAATACCAACAAGTAAATAGTAAAATGTAAACTTACTCTTAACACAAAAAGAAACGCACTGATGAAAGAGAAATTCTCTGTACTGTTTTCAAAGTATAAACGATAAACATATGTCAATTTAACATTAATCTAATGATAATTTGAATATAATCGATCAGTTTATCAATGAGAAGAGACTTTAATTATAAATTGTTGATGTTTCATTGTTTAGATGAAACATTTGTTGATCATTAAGAGGCGTGACAACGGAAATTATTTCAACTGTTTAAACAATGTCATTAGTCGCCAAAAACGCGTTAAAACAGTTACAATTTCAATGACTCCAAGCGTTTAAACATGTAAAACGTGTTAAAAGATAATTTTTCATAAACCGTTTTAACGCGTTTTTGGCGACTAATGACACTGTTTAAACAGTTGAGATGTTGAGACGTTTAAACGCCGTTTTTGCCGTTTTGTTGTCTGCCCGGGCAGAGTCATTTTTCACAAGTACTCAGTTAAATTGATTCTTCATGCGTAAAACGCACAGTTACAACTCACAGAATACGAAAATATCAGCTTGTTTGCAAAAACCAATGTTTTATGTTTGAAAATTCAAAATCTTGTTAAGTTAACTTTTGAACTAAATAACTCTCAAAAATGTACTTTTATGATGCTCATCCATATATAATATCATTCATAGGCTTCCTTTTGATTTATTATTCTTCTAAAAAACGCTAGACATGTATTTTTCTTACTTAATCAAATAGATTGTGAACTTCTATTCTAAAAATTAAGTTAATTTGATGGAACCGACGTGAAGATATTTCATCTTTTTTTTTTGTGGTAATGCTGTTTATAACATTCTCCTGAAAAGTCACATTTTTTTAACCTTTCTAATGTGTTCTAATTGACAACATTAAAAACATCTTTGTAGACTCTACTCTATAATAAACATTTCATATTTGTTATTATCCGAAACTTTTGTAATTTCTGATATAAAGTCTTTTAAGAATGATTAAATTTTTTCACTATATATATATCCCTGGAAAAAATAGTGTCATTCGTTAATTTGAATATATCATCACTATAAATTAACATTTTTGAGCAAAGTAATTATATATTCGGATAGCCCGTGGAATTCTCTACAACTCTATATATGTAAGTTTTGAATTACACTCATTCACTAAAAATAAATTCAAGTACAGTAAAGGCATCCTCACCGTCAAATTCCCCAGAAATGCATTTTTTTGGTATCTATTTTTCATATAGAAATAAGTTAGTACAAAACTAAATATACCATCCGAAAATGCATGAAAGTCTTCATCACCCGGTGCTTTTCCAGCCATTATTAACTATTGTTTGATTACAAATATTTAGTATATTATTTATATAACCACGCATGACGTTTTGAGGAATTGCATTCCATGCTTGCTCAACTAACCGTTCTAAACGTTGCTGAGAGTTTGGATGATTCCTTTGCACATACCGATTCATTCAAGACCATATACTCGCAACAGCATTGAGATCCAAACTAACAGTCGGATAGTCACCGATAACACTAGGTTATAAACTGATGCATGTAACTAAATTATATTCTCGAAAAAATAGAAAGAGAAACGAAAAGTTAGAGAACGATCACATGTATAACATTTGAAAAGAAAGTTACTCATTATTCTCACCCTGGTGTTCTGTAGATAAAAACGGTTACATATGTGTATGAAAAGAAACAGTCACATCTCTCTTGAACATCTCAAAATTTTTCTCTTCAGTGCTATTTTCATGCACTTTCAGACTATATACTTAGTTTCGTACTAACTTGTTTCTATAGGAAAAATAAATTCGAAAAAATGGATGAAAAAGAAAAAAAATTGCATTGCCGGAGAATTTGATGATGAGAACGACTTTAGTATACCTGAATTTATTTTTAGTAGATACATTTAATTCAAAACTTATATATATATAGAGTTGCAGAAAATTCTACGGGCTATCCGAATGTCTATGGGCGGCACACTAGCAATGCAAGGGGAAACAATAAATCTTTATTGCTTCCCCAAGTTATTCATGCTTCTTTAGTAAACCAGAGTAAAAGTACATGTCAACATAGATTCTATACAATTTTCAGGTCAAAATAGGAGGATTGATCCATCGATCATTATCTTATGAATTTTTTATTACTATCTTGATGAATGCATTCACGGTTGTATACATCCGACATACTTCATTCAAGTAAAATATAATCACATTTCTTTATTATTTTCGAGATCTCATTTTGAAATAAACTATGTCTAAAATTCATCAGTGGAATAAAACCACTGACGCAATTAAGAAGAATCAAAACAAATTCTCAAAATACAACTGACGAAGAACGATTATTATCTTTGACATTAATAAATATAGAAATTGACTATCAAATTGATATTGATGCTGTTGCAATAGATTTTGTGTCGAGAAAAAGATGAAAGAAAAAGAATATTTTGAAAATAAATACAATAATAGTAGATAGCTTATGAACGAGAATGATTTTGTTACCGTCAATAATACCCATTTACAAATGCTTAGTAGCGTTCGAAGAGTAAAAATAGAAAATGTTTGTAAGTGAAATAAATTCATACGATATCATTCAGTTTTGTAATTGAATAATATTATTAATTATAATATCATATAAAGTGCTAATTTTCCAGTGATAATATCGAAAAATGTGTCGAGTTAACTGCTACTCTGCACATGATGAATCATTGCATGCATATTATTTTTGTCTATTTTCTGAACTTCTGATCATCAGCTAACTCAAGTTTTTATTACTGTGCTTTAATCCTTAGTTGTTAAAAAAAAAAGAGTCTACTTATAAAGAAGATAAACTAACTGTTAACGTTAACCCTTCGAGGACGGATTTTTTTTCTGTACATTTCATCATAAATCAATCAACATTTTTATTTTCTAAAAGAACCTATTATCCATTACTGGATATCTGAATAAAATAACCTAATTACAATCCAAATTATACCAAAAAACTCTCTGATTAAATGCTTTCATAGAAACTAATCTCATATCGGAATCTGTGTGTTTTGAAATGCTAGAGAATCACCATGGCCCCTGAAGGGGTCAACCGTTCCCAAAGGATTAACAGCTGAATAAACAATCTGGATGATAAGACCACCACATTTTTAAATATTTCTTACGCCTATAATTTCTTTGAAACGAAAGAGATATAAAAATATCAAATAACTTTTACATTAGCATTACATAGAAAACTGAAGTATTAGTGAGTAGTAGGTGCTGTCAACAAGCTAAATTGTTGCTAATTCATTTTGAGTAGATCTTGTTTAAGAAAAAGCGTTATACTACTCTGAAGCTCTTAATCTGTTGTCAGTGACAGACGAATTAACACTCAACTTTTCAATATTATATTATTTCTCTCAGAAATCATGCATTAGAAAATGTATAGTACCGAACTGTTCACTGTGAATGTGTGTGTGTTGCGGGGGGAGGGAGAGGAGGGAATATAGTTTCATTTTAAAGTTTGTTGCTTCCCCTAAAAAGTCGAAGCCGCGCTGCCCATGCGAATATATAATTACTTTTCTCAAAATGTTAATTTATAGTGATGATATATTAAAAATAATGAGTGACACTATTTTTTTACAGGGGCGTATATTTATCTTTAGCGAATAAGAAATTATTATTATTGAAAAAAAAAGGAAGAAAGACATTACTCATTACTGTTAAAAAGGAAGTCGACACTGCATACATATCATGTCATCATTATCAACAGCACAATTAATTCTTAATGTTTCTCAACATTATACAATCTATGTTGGTTTTATTATTTTATTTTCTGGTATTTTGGGACATATTGCTAACATTTTCGTATTTACTCATCTTACAATTTTTCGAAAAATTCCATCTGTTTTTTATATTATTGCAGAATCAATTCTTGATTTACTTCAATTAATGATTATATTTACAACTAGTATTGTAGTTAATGGATTTGATTATGATCTAGCACAAACATCATTAGTTTGGTGTAAATTAAAACCATTTTTGACACAATCAATAACTCTTATTTCATTTAATATTATTTGTTTTGCTGCTATTGATCAATATTTATCAACAAGTGTTTATCCATTTTTAAGACAAAAAAGTACAATAAAAATAGCTAAAATTCTTACTACTATTGCAATTATATTTTGGATCTTACATGCTACATTAACTATGTTCTTATATGAAATTCAGTCAAAATATGGATGTAATATATATGATCATAATTTTAGAAATTATGTTACATATTTCTATTATATTATACTCATTGGAATTTTACCGATTACAATTTCAACATTTTTTAGTATATTAGCTTATCGAAATGTTCGTCGTATTGTACGACGTCAAATGCCAATACGTCGACGAAAACTTGATCAACAATTGACAGCAATGATTCTTGTTCGAGTTGGATTTTTCGTCATTATGAGTTTACCATATCTTTTACAACGAATTTATACATTTAGTACATTAACATACGATAATGATGTAATTTCTCGAGCTATTTTACAACTTATTACAGCTATAACTGTTTCATTATTTAATCTTAATTATGCAGTATGTTAAAATTTAGAGATTTATTTTATTTATTTCGATTATTTTAGGGTTCTTTCTATTTATTTCTAATATCATCAACACGATTTCGTCGGCAAGTTAAACATTTTTTTATAAATAAATATTGGCGAATGTATTGTAGACAAGGAATACGTCAAAATCAAGTTGCAGTATCGGGACACTGTTTCGCTAGTGAATTTGATTTACAACATATTCAATAATACATAATAGATCATTATGCGATTATTATTATTATTATTAATGCAATGCTATACAATATATCAGATCAATAATTTACGCGACAGGAGGATGTGAATGTGAGTGTGACACTCACATCCTTGAAACTTTAGAAGACTATAAAAAATTCTTGTCTGTGGGAGTGTCTGTTTAAAATAATGAATGATTTCTAAGCGTTTGCTCTGTGTAATTTTCTGTATGTAGAATACAGTTCGATTGGTATTTTTTATCTAAAACAATAAATCAGAATATTCTAAATACATACAGAGGAATTATGAAAAAAACACAATATCAAACAAATAAATTTCTAAATGTATTAGATATTTTAAATAAAAATGACAACTATATGAAATTTCATTTTGATATATTTATATATATTATTAGTTGATCATTTAGAGATTTAAGAGCTGCATATTGAAGTATATCGTGTCTGACGAAATCAGTGAAATAGAGTTAAAAAGATTCTTAGGCAATTAGATTAAAGAAACTGATTGACTTAAATTAGATATTCATCTTAATAGTTTATTAGATAGAAATTAGACTTTTGAACAATTAAATCATACTTTTTAAGTATTTTTAAAGAGTTCAATAATCAAGACAAAGTACGATATTTTATGTGTATTCTTGAAGCACTATAAGATTTTTCCAAAAACAAGAAAATCAAGAAAAAATATTAATAGCTCTAAAGAATTTAGTCGAATATTCGGCAAAGAGAAATCAATAAAATTGTAGTTGAAAGTCAAGTAAAAGCTCTACTAGTATTTAATAAAAAGAATTAGAAAATAAAAATTCTCATAATCAAAACTTAAAAAACTTCCGTAAATAAAAATATCAAGTTCTAATTTGATTTCTCTAGTTTTCAATGAATGTCATCGAAACAGTCAAATCTCGTCAACAATCTTTATCATTCAATGGAAACAAGATCAAATTCCACTATGAACAAATGCAATAAAAAAAAAAGAATGTTCAAACATTGTACGAATACAGAAAGATTTTATCAAAGAAGATTTAGCAGTAATAAGACAAGCCAATTTCTTAGATGCATGGATTTTATCCTACAAATGCTCAAATATTAAATTGTTTAATTATTTTAAGTGTAAATAATAATCAAGGAAGATTACTATAAATAGGAAGGATGTGGATGTAAACTCAAGTATTAAAACAAACAATTATTCAATAGCTTAAACATTTAAGAAAACATTATGTGAATTAATTTCCTAGAAAAACATCAATTTGTTAAAGACAGATGTTTCTGAATGAGATAAGATCAAAGAAATAAGACAAGAAATACGACACATGACAATGTTCTTCATGTAAATCTTATTTTATTCTCATTTTTTCTGTTACTTGTCTTGCATTGAGTGAAGATTGTTTTACATTAATATTTCTTTTTGATTGTTTTATCGTTGCTAATGATGATGATTACGGACAGGATGTGGATTTAAGCGAAGAGAAAATCCACATCGTTTATCTTTATTATGAATGTTTGCTTTTCATTATTGCTTTTTCCATTTAAAAAAATTTAAAAAAAAAGACAAACAATCATTGGAAAAAATGTCTCCAGAGATTTTCTTTGCAAGAAAATAAATATAATGCAAACGAGTTTTTTCTCTTTGTGTCCATTGCTATTCAGTATATTAAAATCTAATAGCGATCAAGTAAAATAATTTGATGTGTAAAAAAACAAAGTTTCCGGGAATTTCATGATGTCAAAAAAAAAATCCAAAAGCGAGTTGAGATCTATAGTGTATATATAAGCGTGATTAAAATAGTTTTTACCATTCACTTTTTCTTTTTGAAAGAATTCTATCGTTTTCAAGTAATTTAATATTCTTTTGTTCGATTGAAACAATGCATTTTCTTGCACTATTTGCATTAGTAATATTGGTAACCGTGGTCAATATTGGCTATGTTTATGGTTCAACATGTCTATGTTACTGTTGTAGTGGTAGTACTAACTGTAATACCACCTATATAGGAAGCATTACAGTAACATCATGTTCCAGTTGTAATACTACATTATGTGAATTACCATATAATTCAACATGTTCTTCGATTAATGACACTGCTAATTCTACCGGTGTACAAAGTAATGGAGTTCCTATATTATTCGACCCAACCTTCCATATATTCCCTATGGTAATTATGAGTTTTTCAATGTTGTTTTACTGGATGATCAAATGATAATTTGTCAAAATGGTATCATTTGGCTATGAACTTATATTTACTACAGCATTTAATATTTTGTATTTACTATTCATTCTAAATTTTATTTGTTTTAAATATTGACTTTTTTTTTTGATTTTTCAAAATAATAAACAAGATTTATATTCAGTATATATATATGGGTGATTTGCGCTACCATTATACCGTTTGATGAAAAAATTGGAAAAAAAATCAAAGTGAACATGAAGAGAAGTTGAATCGCACATTCGATAGAGCTCTATCAGTTGCATATATATTCAGTATTTTCTCAACTGTCAGTTTCTTCATTTCGGGAAAAACTGAGTATTCTAGGGTTTTATCGTAGAATACGATATCTACAGTACTATTTTTAAATTGTTATCAGTATTAAAAGAGAATAAGAGACAATTCTCGATCATTATAAGTGTTAAGACTTCTCAATATATGTGTGAAAATGATTAGTTATAATGTCGTAATATCTGTTGAGACATTTTCTGAATAAAATATTGGTTTCTCATGAGCAATGCTTGTTTAAGAGCTGATATTTCTATGATAGATTGACCATTTAGTCAGCTTAAAAAGACCAAAAAAAAATGATCGACTAACTCAGTATAGTTACCGAGAAATGAAAGAAGAGAAATTAAAAATCTGTCGGGATATTTAGTAGAACAATGGCCACTTGTTCGTTTTGTTTTTTTGTTTTTTATTTGATTTAGAAGTCCATTAGAGAAAGTTTTATTTATAGAAAGATTTCTCACTTTTTAGTCTACAAATATAAACAAAGAAATACGCATTCGGTTTTCAATTGACTATAGTAGATTGAATTTAATCTATCGGGACATAGAATAATCAAAGTGTATGTCAAAGTAATTTTAGAGATAAGTTGAAACTAAATTTATGATCCTTTGATGTGGTTAGAAAATAGAAAGTATTAGCTGCTAAACAACTGCCAAAGATTATTTATCTAATCAAAATTTTGGAATAAGTACATCATCTTTTTGATCAGATAGCGTTAGAAATCATAGACTTTAACTTTTCTTGTTCAATATTCGAAAGAAATGGAAGGGAAGAAAGACTCGAAATTTTCACTGTAAGTAGAACACTAGTCTATAGTTATGTAAAAAAAGAATCATTAAAAGTCATTCAGTAGAAGAGGAGTTATAAGCATTTTTATGTTCGGAATGCAAACGGTATAATGGTAGCACAAATCACTCATATGTATTTCTTTTAAAGATCTACAAGACGACATATTCAAATTACTATGAATAAATCTCGAAATGATGATCTTTTGATTCATAATTATTTAGATTCTTCATACAGATGTTTTTGTTAAGGATGTGAATGTGGATGTGCGTGGGTATAGGTGCTGTTTAGCAGTGGTACTTTTACTTTAAGAAAGGAAAGTTGACTTGACTTGACATATAATAGGCGACTTGTTTCACAAAATCAATTTTTTGGTAATATAAAACGGAATTTTTATGTTTATAAGAAAAAAATTAATTTTGAATATGCTACATTTGACCACTTCCAATTCAGTTTATATGTGCAATGCTATTGGTTTTTCTACTGAAATTTTTTCTATGATTGTATTTTTGTAATTATATTTGCTCTTCTATTTTTTTGCATATTATACCTAACACTCTGTTTTTGCAGTCCAATGATGACTACGTAGAGGCATTGAAAATTTGTTGTCATATATTGATATATGTTGAATTACTGAGATTCTATCAATGACATGCGGTCACAAATAGTTAGAAATTTCAATATTTAATTTTGAAATTAAAGAATATTTCGATTTTTCATCATTCATATTTGAAATAAAATTTCTATTATATATATACCCCTGGAAAGCAAAAGTTAGCCACGTTATTTTGGGTATATCGTTATTATAACAGCGTATTCTCAAAAGAATAATACTATATTCGAAAAGCGCGTGAAATTCTCTACCACCCTGTATATTTTTATTACAGTTTGCCATCATAGAATATCTAACAAAATTGAGTAGAACCAAGACAACCTCATGTCTAGATTCCCAAACACTTGATTTGGCCAATGCCATCCAAAATAGTTTTTGAAATTTTTCATCACTATAAAATGATCCTATAAGAAAGGAAAATATATATTCTGATAGAGCATGAAATTCTCTATCACTCTGTATATTTATCTGTTTTTTCGCATTTGTTCATTGGGGAAATAATTTGACAACAATGACATATTCTCAACTGACAATTTCAAAAAATCGATACTTTTGGTGCTTCGTTTTAGTTTTCTTGTTCGAATTTTAGTTAGTTAAACTATGAACTTTTAGTGATGCAATTACATCTTCTGATAGAGCGTGAAATTCTCTATCATCCTATGTAATGGTTATGTCCTGTCTCATATTTATGAGATGCAAATCAATTCAAGTAATATCCAGAAACCATCTAATGACAAACTCTACCAGTTCGCCCATTTTACTATCCCTTCCGTTTTTTATTCCACCATATTAGGCTTATCTAGAAAATGAAGGACTATCAAAATATACGATAAAGTTTCCAAAAAGTCATTCCTGTGTGGCTAATCAACACGAAATAAAAACAAAGGAATGTTGAACCAGGTCAAATTTTCCAGAGTTTGTCTGAAGCACAGTTTTTATCTTCACTTCGATTATTCTTTTAGCAGACAAGTTCAAATAAAAAAAGACAGAGGGTGATAGAGAACCTCACGCTCTATCAGACTACATCGCTACAATTGTGAAAGTTCATTTTCGTGATTAGCATCATTGAAGAAAAAGAAGAAAAAGCTGATTTTTTTGAAATTATCAGTTGAGAATATGTCATTGTTGTCAAATTATTTCCCCAATGAACAAATGCGAAAAAACAGTTAAATATACAGAGTGATAGAGAATTTCACGCTCTATCAGAATATATATTTTCCTTTCTTATAGGATCATTTTATAGTGATGAAAAATTTCAAAAACTATTTTGGATGGCATTGGCCAAATCAAGTGTTTGGGAATCTGGACATGAGGTTGTCTTGGTTCTACTCAATTTTGTTAGATATTCTATGATGGCAAACTGTAATAAAAATATACAGGGTGGTAGAGAATTTCACGCACTTTTCGAATATAGTATTATTCTTTTGAGAATACGCTGTTATAATAACGATATACCCAAAATAGCGTGGCTAACTTTTGCTTTCCAGGGGTATATATAATTATTTATAGAAATACAATAGAAATGAATACAAATATCTACAATTAGTTATGTCAACAAAAACCACATATGAATTTCCGTTTTTAGTAGTGTCCTCGAAGATCAACTTTTCTTGATTTCCATTTTCCATTTCAATGTTCGTCAAAAAAATATTTATTCTCGTTCCCATGAAAAAACTTTGTTTTTCTGTCTCAGCGTTCCTGTAGGATCTTCAGAATTACTATTGCAATTTCATTTTTCGCTTTTGAGAAAACAAGCATCTTTACCCGACAGTAGCTTCCGCGGACATCACACTTTGCGCAACGCAAGATGATCTTAAATTACAAAAATAAAATTATAATTGAAAGTGCATTTTTAGTGAAATAAATCAACTATTATTCATATGTTGACATGTATGAAACGTTAAGTTAACAGAATTATTTTTTCATCAACTGAACAACTTACAAGAGAAAAAAGAAGTAGTGAATCAATAAAATTGATGGAAAAACGAAAGCATGCAAAAGAAGAAGATAATCATAATGTTATAACGCGAAAGACAATCTAAATAATAGTCCTTTGAAAGATAAAAAATACAAAGAAAATAGTAATTATGATAATTGAATTACAATTTGATGAATATTTGCTATTTTCCTTTCAATGATTTTCTTTGAAAGAACAAAGTTTGGCAAATATATACATAACAGAAAACATTGTTCATTCAGTTGATTTATGCTGTGCAAGAGAATTGTTCTGATTGATCATAAAAAGATGTCACGATACCGAAAACATTAGTTTGGTAACTGGTACTACTTCAATACCTTCGCATCATGATCAGAATATACCATTAGATCGAGCTAACTAAGGAAACTGTATCTAAGACATAAATTTCGAAAAGTTTTCATTTAAGCTCTCACCACCTCAGAATCGATTTACTACTTAGAATGAACCGTTTGGGCTGAAATTTACAGGAATGAATGGTTCAAGTGAGAAACACTTATGGACATAATGTTCAAATAGGCAAAGAAAAGAAGATGACTTCCATGACACTAAATTTCACTTTTCTCAGGCCACGAATTCAATATAAAAAATCTGGTCGAACAAAAGTTTACTCTTTTTGAGATCTTTAAAACCAAAAACAAAATATTGGTTATACTTTGAACCGAGTAGAAGTTATTTCAATTTTCCTGCTTGAAAATCATGTTTTGAGAAAAACGCTCAAGAAGTTTTAGAAATGAATCTTTTCATTCAAATTCAGGAAAAAGCATATTACAATTGCATATCAGTGAATTGCTTTAAGGTGATTATGCGCAGTTCTCATACTTGTTAATCTTGAAAAATATGACGAATTACAAGTGCGTATTTTACAATTCGCCTATTTTCATTTGCCATTTAACAACGATATTTTTATTCTTCCTCAGAAGAATATTTATGTAAGTGCATGTCAACTAGTATATGTTAATCGTTTTTCTCTCTACCTCATAATAATTATATGCCCTTAAGAGTCATAAAATAGGTGTGTAATATTTGCATTCGTTCTGTTTCTCATTCATCGAAATCACGACATTTCTATTTATAGAATCGAAATTTGTACTATAAGGACAAATATGTACTCTAAGAGTTGTATATAAACTACTGCATTCCTAGTGCAAAACTCCGAATACTATTTTAAAAAACATTTTCAACTTATACTGTAAGTATTGTCTCAAAAAAGAAAATATCATTACTAAACTTTTCGAAAAGATTCAGCTAAACTTTTGAACATTTACTAGAATATTCTTTGTTTTGTTTTCTGATAGAACCTGACATTTCATTAACAAATTTAATTTGTTGTCAAACAATTAAAACATGCGTGTCTTTATTCTCACCATACTGATTAGCTTACTTTTAATCGATTCTATAATGGGAGCTTGTGATCGTGTTGGATATCTCAATCGTATCAAGGGATGTCAAAGCAATTCAAATTGCAAAACATGTAACTGTTGTGTTTGGAATGCTTGGCGAGCTTGTCAAGGAAATAGTGCATGTTCACAAGATACAAAGAATGATTGTACAACAACACTGAATGCTGCTGTCGCAAATCCAAGATGTAAAAATTCTTGTGCACCATCTTGCTAAAACTAATATGAACTATGAATAATATGATACAATCTAAAATATATCTTCTTTGTATATATTTCTAATTTATTCATATAAAAATAAAAATATATTTAATGACATTATCGTTGATATTCATGCCAAAAAAAAACCATTCATTCAATGGTATTTTAACGAAGTTTCATCAGAAAAAATATTATTAAATTTTGTTCAATTTTGATTGATTGTTGAAACGTATGAATTTTTTAACGAAGGTGTGGGTGTGAATTAAGATAACTACACCCACACCCTTCGACTATCATTGACCTACTCAAAGATACAATTAATTTTCTAGTTAGGGCAGCTTTTTTTCGTTAAATTCTATCGAGAAATAAAAATTTCTAAAATCAATTTTTTCTAAGCTCTGTTTGCTGTGATACTACTGTTTCTCTATTTTCCCATCAGAACTATCCATTTTAACATTACATTTCTTTGGAGATCGATGTTTAAACTCCGCATAAGGGTGCGGGTGTGGATGTGGATGAAGAGAAGATCCACACCCACACCCATATACTGTAATTGAAATTTCTTCTTTCCAAATTTGAATCTTAAGTGCTGTCAATATAGTCAGTTAAAACAGATTGAATTAAGATCCTACCCCTCAAAAACGAAAAAAAAAGTTAATTTTCGTCAAAAACATGAAAATTGAGATAAATACATGGGAAGATAGTGCGAGGTCTGATCTTTCATTAATGAAATTTTCGTCATTATCTGCTTGAAAAATATCTTTTTGAATAAAAGCGGAAAATCTTTTTTGCTATTTCTCAGCTTAAGCTTTTTAGATCACGCATCTCAGAACTCTCGAAGGAATTTCATTGCAGCCTATGACTTTTTTTTTGTTTGAAACAAGTTACGTACCTGACCTAAGATCGATTTTTGAGGGACAACATTAAATTCAATGATGATATTTAGTTTTTTCAGTCTAACTTTTCTAATTTCCTTTACTCAAAAGTCAATAATTTTTTTGTTTTTGAGAATCAAGGCTTATTCACTAAAGATCTTTTTAAAACTGAAAAAGAATAATTATCAGTATAAGACATAATGGTTCAATTTTTAATGATGAATTCTTATTGTTGAATAAGAACAATTTTTTTCTTACTTCGTTTGTACGAATGATTCTAGATCGTCGATCAGAATTTTACTGATTTCTTTCAAGAAACTCGAAACATGCGACTTAAACAAATTCGTACACTTACTATATGCAATCGTTATGTGGTTAACAATTGTTATATTGCTAGTCGAATATGTCGTATTTTTCCATGTGTCAAACAATTACATGTATCAGTCGAACAAGCAGATGATATGATTGTATTGATCGATGGACTCAAACACTTATCGAGTGCATCATTCGTTTTCAAATCACTATCCGATAATGACAAACAAAATTTATGGCAAAAGGCAGAAACGATCATCAATGGTGTTTATCGTTTACAAGATTCATATCTTCATATATTGATCAAAAATCGAGTGAATATTTTACATCGAAAAGTTATTCCAAGTATCAGTTGGATGCAACGATTAGAAAACAATTGGTATCATCTTGATTTAATGTTAAGTCAAGAGTCACTTCTTTCTATATTTATTACCATTATCTTAATAGCTCATCTAAACAATATTGTGATTCATATGTGGATCTATATGATGTCCAGTATGGCATGGCATTCATTTGTTTATTCATTTATATTTGGTTCTGCTTCTACTCTATACATTAGTCCAATCGGTTCAATATTCTCCAAACATCTTGATCGACCATCTACATATGTATTTGGTTACTTCTTTGTTTCAATAATTCTCATCATTGGCTATATCTTTTCGAACAACTGGAAGTCAATGATTGCAGATAAGGTAAGTCTATTTGTATCAAGAATTTGAGGTCATCTTCAAAATTTAATGTAAAATATATGACTTGTTGACCCAGGACAACAATTCGATGGTAAGATATTGTCAGATCATATCGACAGTCGGTATGATCTTACATGCATGTTACAATATGATTTGATGTATGTTTTTCATACATCATGATTTTTTATACGATTTCATCTGATCACATAAGTCTTACTGTCTGATTAGTTGACTTGGAATTGTTCATTATGTGTACTTAGTGAAATTCTTATTAATCGATCAAAATATCGTATAGTTTTCTAGTATTCTTCAGAGCAATTTTTACAATGATAGTCAACTTCATCATAACCTTAAATAATCAATTTTAGATAGAAGAGAAGATCGTTTTATATCAGGATCCTATTCGATCGATTCTTCTTCATCCAATTAGTTACTTGAATGCCGTCGGTGGACACTTCAATTGTTTGGTAAAATGCCGTAATAAAAATCTTATCTTTCACTGGATTATTGGTTTTATTATATTGTGTTTGGTTTTTTTATTGAGTTTTATGATAAAAGCGTTTTTTTGTTGATTTACTGTTGTTTATCATCATTGTCTTTAGATATATTGTGTTAAAAGAATTGAACAATATCTTTATCATCTCGTAATTCTTTAAATTTAAACTTCTTTTCTTGAACAGTAGATACAGATTCATTTGAATGTTAGTAATGATAGACGTAAGACTCACACCAACAACCCCATAGACATCTCAAAAAGTGTCAAATTATTAGACTAATTCATTTCTTTTATTGTTTTCTTCCTTGTTAAACGTTGTTAACATAAATTAAATGTTTAGCCTCAAACAGATGAAAAAAAAAGTAGAATTGAATAAAATAATTTTTAGTTTCATCTTCATGGAAGCATAACATAAAGTCTAAACAAAAAATTTTAAACTTGATGAAATTGATTTTCTCTTTTTATATAAAATATAATTTAATGCAACAAATTCTTTCATGCATATGTCATGAGTTTTTACTTGGGATGACGAATGTCGAGGTTGAGATCCTTCGAGTTTCCTAATAGACATAGATTCATCCAAAAATACATTTATATATTATTATTATTATTATTCTATCAAAGAATTGTTTGCGTACCTTTTAGATGGATTGATAGGAGTAGACTTCAATGTTTGGGGTCTCTTGAAAAGAAGATATTTTGAAGTGCGATTAAGAGTTTAACCTATACCTTGTCATTTACTATTCGATTGCTTATAAATTGTTGTTTATTATCATCGTAATTAGTATTGTTAACATAGTTATATTAGAAAGAAATGTTATAATATGCATTATTAATGACCATAGTATTGGCAATGAATAGAATTGATAGTTCTACAGGAAATATATTATTTACTCGAGATTAGTTTGTAAAAAGTTCGATTGAATCTGTTTCATTGTATCTTGCATTTCTGGTGCTCTATACAAGCAAGATTTGATTATAGTCCATATTTGATTTTTACAACCATTTAGTCTTGATAATCGCTAATCATCATCATCATTCGTATCCAGTCCACCATACGGTACTTGTTCTTGTGTACAAGCTTCCCGTGTTAAAGCATCAAATGAATAAACCTCGAATGCTATCAATATAATTTGATTGATCTGAACTATTTAGAATTTCAGGAGCACAATATTGTACTCAAATAGCTATTTGTTTGTTATCTACAAATGAAGAATCATTTTTATATACTATATCAGAATTATGTTGGTAGTTTAACCTGATTTTCTGATGAATTTCTTGAATTCATTCGAAAGACGAGAAAATTTGAACAACATAAATTATCTTGTACAATGTCTTGACTACGTGGTTATGTAAATCATGGCATTCAACATCTGTAAGAAGATTGCAATGAGAGCTTTAGTTGACGGTTGACAACGTTTATGAGTAGCATGTTCTTGCAGTTACCTAGGCGATCGATCACTATTTCCAACGAAATCAAAACTATGTATAATATAATCGTGAGAATTAACCTTCATGTCCTGCAACTTCTTTATTCATGATCATTAGGATAATTGCTGGCTCTCTTTTTTGGTATCCAATCGGGCTCATAAAATCTACCAGAGTCACCATTAAGTGGATTTCTCTTTCTGAAATTAACATCCAATTGATGCTATTTAGTTTTCGTTGACCTTAAAAATAAATATAATATTTAAATGTTTTACTGAAAGGTGTGGGTGTGGGTGTGGGGTGGGTGGGTGTGAGGAAGATAGTAATACCCACATCCACACCCACACCCACACACCCACATCCACACCCATCCACGCCCACACCCTCGATTTTTATACGATGTTTTTATTCATCCAACGAAGGCATACTAATTCGAATCGAGACATTATTAGATAAGCGTTTCTGAATCCTTGTTGCTTTGCTACACACCTATTGAGGGTTTGTATTCTAGTAATGCTTCTTAATTTTCTTTCAGTTCTTTATATCTCTGTTAACAATGTTAGGGCTGGTTTGAAAACGAATCAATAGTCAAATCCCATGACTCCCATGAGTGGTGTCATATATCTTGAAAATTGAAGATAGAACCTAATCTCTTTTTCGGATGATAGTGTCTTCCATAAGAGACAGGATGCATTGCTCAATTTCAGAGTATGTGACAGTGCTGACAGTCAAAAATATTTTTTTAAGTGATTAGAATCAATGAGAGCACTGGTCCGAGCAAATTGGTTGAAATTTGACTCACATACGTAAAATACGACGAATTTCTTTTTAAAAATGCATTTTCAAACAGATACTTTTCAGTTATAAAATATTTTCAGAACATACTCCTACAAATTTCATATAAACGATTCAAACAGTCTTCGATTTAACTGCAGCGAGAAATCGGATCTTTCCAGTATATTATGTCATCTTAAAGGCACTTAGGATGCTGTTTTAGTTTATCTTTCATCTTGTTTCATTCTATCACGGAGTGTGATTCAGATGTAATTGAATTCATTGATTTTTTTTCAGTTTAACATAGAATGAAAAGTCATATTTGTGTATGATTTCAAATGGAATAGTGTACTGCTCATAATACTTGAAATTATTTAGCATTACTAAAAGTTTTTTATCTCTGCTAGCATATTTGTAGTTTGTTTTTCTAATTACTGACATCTGAACTACTTAGGAATGTCGTATTTATTGTGACAATAAATGAGCAAAGTTTCACTTAAAGTCTGATACCATAGAAACAAAATCAAACAATGGAGTTTTTGTAGCAATCTCAACTATTGAAATGTCAACCTCAAACATTCTTCTCTGATTCAACTGAACCAGACCCAATTTTCTTTGTGTTGAAAAGGATTGAGAAAATTAGTATTATTTGGACCTGCCTTCTATAAGCACTCGCGGATGAGTCCACCCTAGTCTCAAATCCTGGTTACGCCGCTAATAGGAAAGTATTTTAAATATATCAACTGTCATTAAGTCATTTTGATGAGACTTCAGAGATAATGTCAGATATGTTGTGCAACATTTTCTTCTCTACAAAATGGTTAAAAGTTTAAAAGAACAAGTGGAAGCATACCCAAACATGGTTCATATAACTCTAGTCATTGGTCTCGATGTGGGAGAGAATGGGGTAGGCTAGCTTCTCCCACTTTTCACGTTGCGTTTGTGAAAATTTTGAGTGATCGTCCAAAAACTGACTGTCAAATTTTAGCATACAACTTTTTCCTTGCTGTCCGCTGCCAAACGCTCAGCGTTAGATTGTGTGCGAAATATTTCACCCCTCCCACTACTGAAAACCATCGAGAGTCATGATTGTAACAGCTAACAGCTTTTTCTGATTTTTCATGAAAATCGACAATCTTTGAGATTTTCATCCCGATGAAACAATTCTAAAACAAAATAGATATATCATTCAGAATTACAGTTAAAACTTGCATGGAATCACCTATTATCTAAAAGAAATATTTTCTCGTGGATAAAACCACGCATAGGAGACCGGCACACAAAATCTATAAAGAGCGCATTAACCCGTTCGGGACGGGTCACGTATATATACGTAATAATATTAAATGGACTCATAAGTGACTTGGACATATTTCATATAATACCTTAAGCGTTTGTTTCATTTGTAAATCGAAATAAAAGCTGCTAGGAAACTGATGAGAACGAGATGAGTGAAATTTTCAATAAATCCGAAGCGGATAATGAAGAAGGTCTCGAAAATTCTCATTGTCTACAAAGTAATCCCGTCCCGAAGAGGTTAAAGGCGTACAGATGAACTGCTGACAAGAAGACATTTTCTTTCCAAATTACAGATGATCCCATGCAATTTTTAATTGTAATTCTGAATAATATATCTATTCTGTTTTAGAATTGTCTCATAGAGATGAAAATCTCAAAATCGTTGATTTTCATGAAAAACCATAAGAATCGCTTACTACGAGAGTAATACGATGAACTCTGATTGGGTACCATTCGATTCATTCTTTTAAGCGTTTACACATTTTGTAGAAAAAACTTGCACAACATATCTGAAATTAACTCTGGAGTCTCATAAAAGTGACTCAATGACAGTTGATATACTGTAGAAAACGTTCCTATGTTTCAATTGAAATGGGCTATAATAAATAGTATTTGATAAATAACTCTACATCAATACAAGAAAATACAATATGTAAATAGCTCATTTTTTTCAGCATTTGTTTCTCTATCTTTTGGTATATTACACTATATATTTTGCTAATTTTATCATCTTAAAAAAAAAGCAACTTTATATAGAGATGATTTTTGATTGGATTCTCCATGTATCTATGTGAATAGTCGACAGTAAAATTAATATAACTTTTCATCGATTCGACCAAATATACTAAAAATTTGGATTTAGAAGTTGTAGATGATACTGAATAAAATGAGGATATCAAATAAATCTTAATCTTTAAGAGTACTTCGAGTTCTTGATGGTCTCATGGACACTCTATAAAATTTCATACAAATCAATTTTATTAAAGTAATCATTAATAATGATTAGTACATTTTTGTATGAGGAAAATAATCTTTGACATATTTAGGAATTTTATCAGAAAGCACGCATAAAGAACTTAGTTTGGCACAATTAATTCGTGTTGTATTTCTTGTAAAATTGTGTGTTACTCTTTTTAATTGTTCATAACCAATAATAAGCTCAAGAGTATTTGGTAAACATGTTCTTGTATCCAGTAGAAATTGTTCAACATAATCATCATTAACTAAATTAAGTGTAAGATCAGTAACATGAGGATATTTAATGATGGGCAAATCTTGATTATCTTTGTTTGATTCTATATATAATTTGTTATTTTGTGGTTGATAATTTTTTAAATTAATTTATTTTACAAATGGAAATGGTTGAGAAATTTGAAGAAAAAATTCATGTTCAAAAGGATATCTATAAAATAGATATATATCTTGAACATATTTAAATAGTCCACCTGAAAAGTTATTTGTAATATTTCAATCTATATGGATAGGAATAAATATGACATTGACCATATTCGTTTTTTAGATAATAATCGATACAAGAAATAATCTTTTTATTTTTAAAATTATTAAATGCATGTTGAATATTTTCATTTGATGGAAAATAAATTTGATTACGAAGACCAAACCATGAATGAATATTAAATGTAAATTTATCTAATTGTATCATATGATTTAGAATATTTGTCTTGAGATAATTTCCATCGAGAATTGTTGTTGTCATAGAAATATTTACATTCAATTCAAGCTTTTCCAAATTCGACATTCGATATTTAAGTGTTAAAATTAATTGTTCAAAATCATTTATAATACTATCACAATGAAGCGAAAAACATCGTAAATTTGGTAGTTTATCCTATAAAGACAAAACAATGAACTGATTTGAATAACAAAAAAAAAATATATTTTACTTTATTACCAATTTTAATATCTCGAAATCCAATTGAAGAAATGCGAACGTAAAATGTATGAAGTTTATTGAAACGTCCATCAAGTAAATAAAGACAATCGAGAAAAATTTACCACAGACAAATGTAGTTCCAATAGATTTGAGGATATAACAGTTGAAGGAGTAAAAATGAATGATATTTCTTGATACTAATTTAAAAATGGACCAAAATTTAAGTATTTTAAATATCGTAAAGAGATTTGTAAATACGAATGTATTATCCTCGCTCGATGGAAATTTTTTTTTTATTTTTAGTAATATCGATAACAAGGGATAAGATTTCATTTTTGTCTATACGAATTAAAGATAATTTGTCTAAAATCAAAAACACAAAAATTAATAAGAAAATTTTCTTAGAATATGTTTTTATAATTAAAGAATTTTTTCTTTTTAACAAAATTCTCTAACTTTGCATCTATATTAAACATCTGCGGTACCAACTTCTTCACTGTGCTGAATCCTGCTTATCTTATCCTGAATACTTCTCGCATTGCTTCAAAAAATCTCGTTTGTGTTGTAAGCTGAAAGATATATAAACCGATCACTTTGTTATATGTCCGTGCGTCTTTTATTGTTTATCAAAAGAAATAATGTATTCATATACGTCATAAGAGAAATTTATTTTTTTTGAAAGAAATATTGATCACGAGACAGTACTCATCAACAAAAGCACAAGGTGGTCTAGAAGTCACCCGACAGTCTTTGATTGCAAATAAGTTTAGATGAAAACAAGACAGATAGCTAAGTTTTTCACAGATGGAAAGAGAAAATAAAAGCCAATCAAAAATTAATTTGTCAGACAATATGAAAAAATTAGAAAAGTGATTTTTCTTACAGGAATTCAGTAGAAAATCGGCTGTAAATTTGGACTAGAATACATATAATTTCTTAACGACTATGATTAAAGATCTGAATCCAGTAGAATTTTGTAGATCTTTGATTAACGACTCGAATCCATGCTTGACTGGTGAAAATTCATTGTGGACAGATTAGAACATATGTGGCTTTTCAAAAAGATCAATTTGAAGTCTTTGAAAACACTAGTTGAGATGACTCTGTCATATACGATTCGATACATCTTTATCTTCTTTTTCCAATTGTGAAAATCGCAGATATCTATCTTGTTCCTATCAAAAATTATTCACACTCAAAGATTGTTAGTGAACTTTCTCGTTTTCAACAAAAGCAGCTCGATCGTGTTTCACATTCGTTTCAAATGAATTTTTAAATTGGCAGTGTGTTCTCATACATAAATTAAAAAATTTCAGAATATCCGATCTTTTTTTTTTAGAGTAGTCCCGGAATTTTTAAAATATCCTGATCTCAAAAAGCTTTCAAGATAATCCTAATTCTCCTGAAATAAGAGACAGATGGTTGCTTTTCCGGATTGAAGAGTGTGCCACACATTTGTAATCTATACCTTTATTCTTTTAAAACTTCTCAATAAATAATACACTATCATTAATAGTTCAAAATTAATTACTAACACAATTGAAGTGTCTTACCAGTAAAGATAGATAGAAATTTCTTCATGTTAATATTATATAAACTAATTCCATGTAAATTTGGATAATTCGTAACAAGAAGAATACGTTTTATAGATGATGATTCAATATTAAGCCATTCAATTTTATTATGAATCAAAGGTAAAATTTTTCAACATACACGATCAAGTGTTGAATTCGCTAATGGACAGATTGAATCATTGGATAAATATTTCATTAATGTTAAATGATTTGTAAAAATCGAATCATTTGCAATTTTATTAAGTCGATCATTAACACCTATTGAAGAATAAAGAACTTCAATATTGTTCAGTTTTTTTAATATATAAGAATTTCATCAGGTAAATCATTCAAATGAATAAACGATGATATCATGTTTATAGTCAATTATTGATTCATTCTTTTAGCTCAGAAATAACAATATTTATATGGATAGACCCCAAACAGACTGAAAAAAATCAGACGAATTAAAACTGAATTAAGAAACATGATTGACCCTTTTACATAGCAACGTGAATTATATTGGTTAATTCACTTTGAATTGAGTCAGTCTGATTGAGGTCAATGGGGCATATCTTCTTATTTGTTTTTTTTCAGAGGGCAATGAAAACAATATGACAATAAATATATATGTATTGAGGAAGAACTTGAGCAGTATAGAGAATATCAGTTATATATGAACATTTTAAATAAAAACGATATGAATATACTCGATTTGCCTGACGAGATGCTATTTACTATTTAAAAAAAAATGAATATGGTCGATGTATTTTATTCACTTGTGGATGTAAATCAACGATTTCATCGATTAGTACTCTATTCTTTATATATTTCTCATCTCAATCTTACGAACAAAACATTGCTGAATAGGAGCTCTCCAATAGCTAATCAAGTTGTCGATCGAATCTGTGAAAAAATTCTTCCTCGAATTCATCATAAAATATACAAGTTAACTGTTCAATCACTTTCAATGAAATGTATGCTTCTTCCTATTAATTATCCACAACTTCATTCGTTGTCCCTTGTCAATTTTAAACAAAAAATACTTTTACAATATTTGACTGGTATATTTTTTAATTTTGTTTGATTTATCGAACAAAATTTTTTCTATTATTATACATGAATTAATTATGGTTTTTTCCTACATTTAAGGTGATACAATAGTTTGTAGTCTTCTTACTAATCAAATTAAACATCTTGATGTTGAAATCAAAGATGATATAACAAGAGAATTCTCTGATGAAAATGAATCAAATATGTTTGAATTAATATTATCTTTGGGTAAATGTCTAGTCAATTTAACTTTTAGTGAATGGTTTTCTGGTAAAAGCCTACACATATCGACTTTAAATATAACATCAACTGGTTGTGTATCTTCAAGTCTAACTAAATTGAAAATTGAAGTAAATACCTTTGATGATTGTCTTTATCTGCTTGATGGACGTCTTCAATGTTTATCTACATTGATTATCAAGATATTTGAAATTTGTTATTCATTAGCAAATATAGATAATAAAGTAAGTATATATTTGATTGTTATGTGTATAGAAAATTTATACGTAAACTATATTCATTATTTCGTTTTCTTTGTAGAAAACATTACCAAAATTGAAATGTTTTTCGTTAACATCGGAATGTTATACGCAATTTTATAACGATGGAATTGTTTTATTATTACGTCGAATGTTAAATCTTGAGGAATTAACATTATTTCTTTTGGTATCCAAAATCGAATCAACTTATATTGATGGTATTCAATTATACGATGAAATTCTTATTTTCATGCGACGATTAAATAAATTGACTTTCAGTATAAATACTCTTGTTTTCAATAGATATATTACAGTTGATCTTCCATCAAACGATGATATTCAAAATAGTTTCATCAAAAGAAGATATCAACCAGTTGGTTCATATGCTGATGAAAAACTTACGGACTACGCAGGCAGATGCCATGTTTATTCACTCCCATATCAATTTGATTGTTTTTATCATCTGACCAACTGTTTTCAAGGTGGTATTTTCAATAAAGTTCGATGGTTAGCAATGGCCGATCAACATCCATTTGAACATGAATTATTTGAAAAAATTTCTCACGATTTCCCTTTTCTTCAGAAATTAGTCGTGCTCAATTCTAAACCACAAAAAAATAAGCAACATGCATCTACGTTGATTACATTTGTTCATCTAGTTGAACTCAATCTTCGTCTGGCACATACTAATTATGTCGAACAATTTCTCTTGGAAACAAAGACTTGTTTACCTCATTTGAAAAATCTCGTCATTGAATATGAATCATTAGCAATGATAACAAATAATTTTACTAATGATGCTACACATCGTAATTGTAGTCAATTGCGAAGAATTGATATAGATAAACCATTTATTTGTCCAGAAAATTTTCATTCATATTTTCCTTTATTGTAAATATCAGTTTTCTTCAAAATTATTTCAATTCAGATAAATACATTGACAAAATGAAATATATTCTAATCATAATAACTGACAAATTACTAACGAAATCAGTATAGTCTTTTATTATTTATATGAACACAATGATGCTAGATAAAGTAATTATATAAAAATAAACAACGAAAATAACATGATTGGCTACGATTTAAGTTTGCAATGAATTAGAGAATCTTGTTGTTTATAACTCATTATTTTTCTTGCCCTCACCCCACCCTCATGAACAAACACTGGCCTAATTTTAAAGATAAGAGTATGAAATCTACTTTCGAACACCTTTCTATTCAACAATTTGTCCTATTAATTATTTAAGCAAATAATCTTTACCTGTTTAACCGGCTCTTTTGCGCGTTCTTTTATCTCTTTTCCATATTTTTCGTGTAAGATTGATTTTTCACATTCTCTTGAATCTTTTAGCCTCTTCTATTTATGAGTGAATCTTGTACTCAGACAGTTTGTTTTCATGTTATTTGTTCTGTTTTGTTTTCATCTGTTATAACTTTCATTTCTAATATTAATCTTGAGAAAGAGACAACCCTTTATATTTATGAACAATGTCCTGGGTTTTAGTTGACTCAACTACCTGTCAAGAGGATATTGTTGTCAGACGATTCAGATAACAGAGAAGATCATGTTGATGCGCCTGACTCCTTGTTCTCAAAAAGAAAGGCTCATTCATTCTTTAGTTTTTCATGCGTACGTAGTTATTTTTGAAAACGTTTTATGATGTCGGAAACCTTCTCGGCAACGAGAAATAATTTTCGAACTGGTTTGAGTTTCCTAGGGAAAGAATTTTTTTAGAGTGTGGATTTCGCATTCTAACTCCATGTGATTTGTGCTAAGAAGTTATTTTATTCAAATTAAGAAAACCTATTAAGCATTGCTTGAATAATACAAGTGTGACTTAAGATAAAGAGAAATTTGCATAACAATGAAAAATATAGTTGGTTAAGAGACAAAAAAATTAACGATCTTTGATTATATTAATTTGATCAAGTTGCGCTAAATCAGATGTTCGGTAGTAAGTGTTTGTAGCATGTGAAGTATCTGAAATAGTGAGAATGCCAAAGCCAGGATCAGTTAAGATAACACAAGATTCATTCAATCTCGCTAAAACATGTTCGTTACCCTCAGGATTTCCAATGCCACCGTTAATTATATAGACGAGACCATTTGAATTGACGTAATTTGTGGTGTGGACCGTGCCTATAAAGTTCAAAAGACATTTTATCCAATAGCTAACAACTGTCTATCAATATATTTAAGAGAGGGTTCACGAGACCATCGAGGATCGTTGCAGTATACGAGGCACTCGATAAAACTTTTTTTTTCGATTTTTTTTTCATTCAACGCCTCAATGTCTAAAACTACTAACCCTAAAATTTTACGTTCTGATACCCTTCCTATGAAAAGTTGGTCAATACCGACTTTTGGCACTATTGGGCGTTTTCGTGAAAAAATAAGAAAAAAATGTTCTATAAAAGATGTATTGACTTCCATTTCAGCAAATCGCTTACATTTTTCGTGGTATATATGAAAAGATAGAGAATTGAAAACTGAATAAAATGAGCTAGATTTATATAATATAATGGCTAACAATTTAAGTTTTCTATAGCGAATTCGAGTCCAGGGTAGTCATTTTGATCAGTCCAAAAAACTATTGTAACTCGTGTTGTGCTTCCGAATTCGGAGACCCTCAGGCTGAATTTTATATATGTTGTGCAGTTTTTCATTCTCTACAAGATGATAAAAAATGTACGAAAAAAAAGTTTCCGCTCGAATCGAAAAACAGTTTATACTGTCTAATTTTTTATGGTTTTTGATGGTTTTTCAATAAAAACTGAATGTTTTTCGAGATTCTTTTTGTCTTAGATCAGTGCTAGAAGAAAATAAATATGATATTTGGAATCAGCATGAAAAACTGCATCCAACCATGTATGTTTCGGCTGAAAAATTTTCCCAACCAAAATTGACCTGTGGTCCCCCACAGCTACGTTTAAAAGAAAATTTTCTCCCTGGTCCCCTTAGGTCAATTTTGGTCGGGAAAATTTTTCAGCCGAAACATACATGGTTGGATGCAGTTTTTCATGCTGATTCCAAATATCATATTTATTTTCTTCTAGCACTGATCTAAGACAAAAAGAATCTCGAAAAACATTCAGTTTTTATTGAAAAACCATCAAAAACCATAAAAAATTAGACAGTATAAACTGTTTTTCGATTCGAGCGGAAACTTTTTTTTCGTACATTTTTTATCATCTTGTAGAGAATGAAAAACTGCACAACATATATAAAATTCAGCCTGAGGGTCTCCGAATTCGGAAGCACAACACGAGTTACAATAGTTTTTTGGACTGATCAAAATGACTACCCTGGACTCGAATTCGCTATAGAAAACTTAAATTGTTAGCCATTATATTATATAAATCTAGCTCATTTTATTCAGTTTTCAATTCTCTATCTTTTCATATATACCACGAAAAATGTAAGCGATTTGCTGAAATGGAAGTCAATACATCTTTTATAGAACATTTTTTTCTTATTTTTTCACGAAAACGCCCAATAGTGCCAAAAGTCGGTATTGACCAACTTTTCATAGGAAGGGTATCAGAACGTAAAATTTTAGGATTAGTAGTTTTAGACATTGAGGCGTTGAATGAAAAAAAAATCGAAAAAAAAGTTTTATCGAGTGCCTCGTATACTGCAACGATCCTCGATGATGCCATGGACTCTCTCTTAAATATGAATATCTTAAAAACAATGTATTGAACTTAAAACATTAAACTAATATCTATAAGAAAATTTTCGAGTGACTTCGCTACTGCATCTTGAATCCAATGCGTAACAAACTGATGAATCTGGAAACTGATGACACATACCATTCAGACAAACTCACTCATACCAACATACATGACCAGTAATATAGATATCGACATTGTATCGAATCAATATATTCTCAAAAGTTGCTCGACATGCCGGACAATTGATAACTTCAAGGCCAGGTAGAGTCTCTAAAGATATCAATCTTTTCCACGATCGATGGCATTGTACAATGATCCATGGAGTAATTTCGCAATTGATGATGGCTAAATCCTTTATCAACCAATTGACTTGAGTCGTGTTATCAAGAAAATTACCAGAAGGACCAATAGGAAAATCTGATTCGCATGTTAGTGTAATCACATGAATAAAGCCATACTTGAATGAATACCAAGAATTTAAATAACTACCAGACTATTTACTAGGCATCTTGAATTGATGACTATAAGGGATTTGATTTCTGTGATCAGATGGACATGTACTATTGACATATGGAACCTCTGTGCAGTTTATCTAATGATTACCAAAAATTCGTTCAAATATGTTGATATTCTCGGGGCTCTCTCAGTACATTATCGCATTATAGCAAACTTGCGATTTCGGAATAGGTTAAAGGAGTTGTCATGTAGAAGCGAACACTTGTTAAAACTGACATTGCCACTTGGCAATAATCCATAGTTACTTCATATGGTTTTAGCGATATAAGTATAGGGCCATTATCTGCGTAGCAAATATCACCATGATATAAGAAGAAATCTATTTCTGGTGGCTTCCGCTGCAAAGCATCTAATGCTTGCTTAAAAAGACATGGACCAGTGGTGAAAAACCCTAACAAACCATCAATACCCAAGTCCCCATAAGTAGCAATGTTCACTGGTCGACTCCAATTACCAACTGCTGGAGCTGATGTGAAGGAGAGAATGTTTGATGCTGAGACAAAATTCGATGCAGCAATCTGATAATAATAGACCGTGGATGGTTCAAGATTGTGAAGTTCAACACTGTAAAACCATGAGCCTCCTAAAATAGTGTTTGGGTCATAAAAACTTAAGTTTCCGCTGACTGACGTGAAGTTGAGTTCTGTAGGCGATTTACCAAAAATGACGGTCGGATTTGGATTGGGGTTTGTGTCGTCGGATGAACACAAACGTAAACGCCAATCGACATACACACCAGTATCACCAGCAAAAGACAAACACATTTGATCGGATGCAGATCTTATACAGGAGACTAGGCCATTGGTCGTTGGTGCAATTACAGCGAGTAGAAGAAGACATACGCAGTTATCCGTCGGTGAATATGATGAAAAATGAATGGTTCCATTTTCAATTGTTGACAGCAACGCCAACTGACGTCAGATCAGTTCGCATGAGAAGGATCGATCAAGTGTGTATGACGTCAATGAACAGAGCGTGTGTATTCGGACAATCCTTATTATCCGTCACTGCATTTTATCATACAATCAAGATTAGAACGCGATTGGCGTAGGAAACGTCTTTTCGCTATTCTTCATTTTCTTTTGCATTCTATTATTAGTTGTTCAATAAAAATAGGTATACCTTGATATTGAAGGTTATGCAAGGGAGAAAAAGCCGTTCCTGGTAGATCCTAGGATCCATCAGGATCCATTAGGATCTATAACAAACTACTAACATTTATCAACGTAAATTATGTTTTGAACAATCTACACTAGCAAAACATATCAGCCGACTTCATATTATAAGTGGGAGCATTATATGCCGATTGCATTAACCGTAAGCAGTTTTCCAACTAAGCAATAAGTAGTACTAGCTCTCTTTAAATCTACTCTAGCGGAGTATTTTGGATCCTTGCAGGTCACATAGAGGCGATTATCTAAGATTTCTTTTTGCTGTATTCTAAGGCACTAATCAAGACTCATTCAGGTCTACTATAGTGGACTACTTAGGACACTTTAGGTCTAGTCTGGAAGACTACTTAGGACTTCTTTAGGTCTAATGCAGGAGACTATCTCAGATCCTTTTAGGCCTACTAGAGGGAAATAATTAGAAAGCTTGAAGTTTATTCAATGGACTATTTGGGATCCCTCTAGATTTAGTCAAGGAGACTACTTAAGACCCCTTTTAGTCTACTATATAAGTTTCAAATAGTTCATAGAG